TTTGATATACATCGTCCGGCTTAACTATAGACACAAATTGAAAACTTTTTTATTGTAACTTTCTCAGAATTCTTGATAAAAGTTTCTGCATGGCATTAAACCTAAAATACACTTGCCTTTTGTCACGGGGAGGGTATACAAATATTAACAATTCTAAAGAGTAAAGTATCCTTATTTTACATAATACCCAAAAACGGTTTTGAAAAAGTTGTTTTGTATTTATTTATTTATAAAGATTATCAGTCCAATTATAGAAGTATAATATAGTATGTTTAAATTTACAAAATTTGAGAATACTTAACTAAATTACACCCTAATCATTGTATAAGAACCCCCAATTACCTAATTACATACCAATCTGTAACATTGATGTTTAAATTGGTTAAATCCTAAGAAAAATACAGCAACAGAATACTGAATGACATTTCTACAGATTGTAGTTAAAAGACTCTGAAAGTGATATTGCGAATTTGGCACTGGAATATGAAATGTCAACGAATGGCCCAAAAAAGGGCGTAGAGTGCGTGAGCAGGGACCTAAGCAATTCCTTCAGAAACTCATTCAGGGTGTTTAGGAAGTGAACCGTTTAAGAGGTGAGCCGGAGGCAGAAGGACACAAAGAATATCCAACTTTTGGATTTTTTGCTTTTCGCAAAATCATTTTACGTATAAATTTATCATAAGAAATTAAAATAACTATTATCTATTTTTGATTAAAACTCAATATTATTTTTTCAAAAATTTTCACATCTAATAATGTCTGCCGATTTTAACAAAGGTACTATAAAGTTACGTCTTCTACCATAAAATATAGAGAACTACTCCATTTTAACTCTAGAGGATCGGTGACTTTGATGACTCAATAGCATCTATACTGATGTGACTGTATAGTATCAGATTTTATTGTGGAACTAAGGATTTTGTAATTTTGTTCGAATACAGTAACCTGCTACATTGAGATGTTACTCTAATTAAACACCATAAATATACAGGGTGTTTCATAATACATGCACAGGACTTCAGGACGTGATAGCTCGTCCAAAAATATGAAAAAACGTTTCTATTAACTTACCCTCTAAAATGCACCATTTTCGAAATACAGGAAAAATTCTACGCCACTGGAAAAAGTACGGTTTTGAGACGCTTATTTGAACCGCCAATGTTTTCTACACAAAAAAGGTACTCTTGGTCATACGCTCTAAAGTCGACCGTTTTCCAGAAAAATCAAATTTTAATGTTGAAATACATGGTCATACATACTTGATGAAACAAAATTTGATTTTTCTCGAAAATTTTCGGATTCAGAATGATCAGAAACATGAAAAAAAGTTTTAAAAAATGGGGGTCAGAAAATTTTTTCGTCTGCACGAATGCAATACTGAGGCCCCATAGGAAGGGCCTCGGTAATAATTTGTCGCCTAATAGTTTTAAAAATGTCAAAATATTTGAAAAATGGATAGATCATAATTTGTTGGACATCCTGTAAGGTTGAATATATTTTCATATAATAGCTCTATATCCCTATTATAATCAATTTACATGTATAACTATTATGAAACGCCAGTTATGAAAGGGCGAGTCACTATTACATGACCCTGTACAGTGAATTATACAGGGTGGCTCACGCTCAACGGGACGAAGCTTTATGGGAAAACGACCAAAGATATAAAAAATTCGTTTGGGAGGAATACGTAGGTTACAGACGGCTACAATTTAAAATTTGTTAGATGTATACAGGATGTCCCACATAAGAGAAAATATACAAAGTTATATTATTTTTAATGGAACACCCTGTTTTTTATTTTAGAATTAAAAACTACATCAAAAATAATGTCAGTTAACTAAAGGTTCCCTATTACTATTATTATTAGTTTTCGATTTATTTGAATTTTTAAGGGAAAAAAGTCTCCCAGAAATTAATTGTTTACTCTTGTTTGAATAATTTTTAATGAACTAATTTTTTTTTCTTATGTGGGACATCCTGTATACATCTAACAAATTTTAAATTGTAGCCGTCTGTAACCTACGTATTCCTCCCAAACGAATTTTTTATATCTTTGGTCGTTTTAACATAAAGCTCCGTCCCGTTGAGAGTGAGCCACCCTGTATATCTCAATAATATAATTTTTTTGAAAATAAATGTATTGCATGCTTAGATAAGTCTGTAACCTACCAAATGAACTCTAACTTCCAGTGAGGGAAACTGCCTGAAGCTGGTCTTAAAAAAAATTGTCTATTACGGTTACCCAAATGTCGGCTGTTCCGATATCAACCTTGGGGCTTTAGACGTCGCACAGACGGTAGCTAGGGTGTAGATAGCTTACAAAAATAGTAAACAAATTGAATTGGCGCAAATTGAATTCCTATAATGGCCAATTTATGCCGTATTTTCCCACAAACCCAGTAAATAAGAAAATAAATAAAAGATAAACCTCAAACGTCTGTTCCTTTATAATGAATTTACCCAATAAATGCAATGATTAACAATTTTTAAATTATTGTGAAAGAAAATAATCTAAAAATATACCCAATATATTAGACATCAAACAATTCAAAATTAATGTTATTGTTGAAGAACTTCACAAAAAAGATTTGTCCCACAATACATAACTAATAAACTAAGCATATAAAGAAAATAAGAAATTAAATCGTATATGTCATATGCATAAACCCAAAAGGAATAATGAATTCATCAATAGATGGCATACTCCGTTATCATTGGTACCAGGCGTAAGACATTATGCGCTAAATATTAAGTATAATATTGCATAACCCATAAAATATTAATTTCTAATTTTTTACAATGCCACAGTATCCCTTTAAAAGAAATAAACACAAGTTAAATATACCTTAAGAACAATTACTAAAAATAAAACTTTCTTATATTTTTCGCAAACTTCAAATAAAAATAATGCATACTCGTAAAATTTGCAATTTTCACCAAAACATCCTCACAGTCGCATATCTGGTTATATAATTAGCTGGTTATTTAAAATAAATACGTGATCTGCCTGTGGATCCAAGGGTCCCAGGTTCGAATCCCACCGTTGGCCGGGATTTTTTTATCTAATTTAATTATTTAAAATTAATTCGGATGCCTTGGTAGGATTCCCCACTCGACCATTCACTGGTTCTAATTAATAGTGCTGTTCCTAAAGTGGCGCTGGGAAACAACGCCTACACAGAACACGAGGCTAATGACCTTAGCAGTCGATGCCGATGACACCAAATTAAAAAAAAAAATACGTGATATATGTGCTCCAAATGTATCGAAAGAACGTCTTTCCAAATGTCATGACTATTTTCAACTAGAGCATCCCTCATTAGCAAGCTCTTACAAATCTTACCATTTTTAGAGGTAATTCCAATCAACGGGCTCTTATAAATTTTCATTTAGATAATATAACGTTAGAGGCTCCTACAAATCATAGGTAATTCCAATAAACGGGATCTTAGAAATCTCATAATTTTCATTTAGGTAATCTCCCGTTAAAGGCTCTTACAAATCTTACAATACAATTTTCGTAGGCAATCCTCATCAACAGGTTCTTACAAAACTCAGCATATTTATTTAGGCAATCCCTCATTAGTAGGCTCTTACAAATGTTACAATTTTTGTAGGAAATCCCCATCAGCAGGCTCTTACAAAACTAATAATTTTCAATTGGTTTATTCACATAAGAAGGTTCTCACAAATTTTCCAATTTTAATAAGTAATCTCCATCAACGGTCTCTTACAAAACTCACAATTTTCAATTAGGCAATCCCCTGCTAGCAGGATTTTACAAATCTTACAATTTTCATAGATAATCCTTATCAGCGTGTACTTACAAAACTCATTTTTTTATTGGTTAATCCACATTAGCAAGCTCTTACAAATATTGCAATTCTCATACGTAGCCCCCATCAGCGGAATCTTACAAATGTTACAATTTTCTAATATCGTATATCGACAAAGTCGAATAAAAGAATAACCTTATCAGTACAAGTATGAAAAATAAGGAATATATTTTTCTAATGTAATGCGGAATATACATATATTTTTTTTTACTTTAATAAGAAGGTGATGGTCAAAGCCAGTTTTTTTATACTATTACTATGGACATTATTTATTTGCCTTTGGATTAATCGGGTCGGTAGTGTAGCGGTCTAACGCGCTTATATTAATTTATAGGCAAGTTTATGAGTCTGAGACTGCTGGGCTTCGAATCCCAGACCGGACCATGTGGATTTTTAATTAAATTGCATGGTTCGGTTTAGGATTTGATGTGTGCCGTATTAATAGAAAGGACCCCGCAGACTTTCAATAAAAATTGGGTTTCATCGAAATTGTCCCATTTTTTGCAGGGAGCGAGCTTTTGACATCCTGACCAAAAGTCCTTATGGGTGGAACAAAATCCTATGTAAGGATTTTGAGTTATTTGCAAAAGAAGGCCTCGATTTTGACGAACCTCAAAAATCGTAAACACCGGGAAACAACACATACAAAGAGGTTAGAGTCTTTATTTTTTCAAAGTCTTGGACCAAGAAGTTATTCCAGAATGTTTAGCAGTCATTGATGGAGAGGCTGTGTATGAGTGTCCATCATTAGGCAACTCACAGGATGGTCCTGAACACTTTCGGAAAAAAATTGACCTTTTAACCAAACTTTTCTAAGTGTGATTTCCTCACCTGTAAGTCAAATGGCACCATCTATCATCTTCCCCTACACAAGTCGTTCAGTCGACTTCAGGGGTTGAAATTCACTCGTAAGGGGGTGAATTAGGGAGTGTATTATTATTATTATATTATTAACAAAAATTGAAACATAAATAGCGTTATTTTTGAGGTTATGCGAACATAATGCACCAAAAGTGGAATTTAGTACTAGATATGAAAACTTGGATGACCAACAACCAATAAAATGCTGTTTAGACGACCAAAATTCAAAATGGCTCCTTATAATTTAAAATGAAGTTTAGTTACGAAAATATAATAATTACACATCTTTATTAATTTCAGGAATTCGTATCAGAAGTACGTCTCCGTACAGATCAAGAAGTACAGTTGCAGGATATTCCGGAAATTATGGATACAATGAAAATGGATCGAGAAGGGCCAGTAGTTCTGTCAGCCAGGTATGAATTGTTTAAAAACTTTTTTATAAAAGGGAAAAAAGAAAGAGGGCCATTAGATCTCAAAAAGTACATAAATATAATTAAAAAAAATAGAAATCTTTGTGAGATCTAAAGGATCTTTTTCTTTTTCTACCTTTTAATCTAACCAACTTATACTTTTTTGTTAGTTTCATTTACTTCGACAACTCAGTTTATTAGTTTCGCGATCTTTATAGGCTTTGTTTCTTTTTCCATGTGTCACTTTATTAATTGGCATACAAGAGCAGAATGTCGAGTGGGTAATTGTACCTTGTTATTTAGTAAAAATTCCGGTATTGTCGATTTAAATATAGATTTAATACATTGTTTGTAAACTAGTAGAATTATTAAACATTTATTTAAATCTTTAAAAATTTACATATGGGTAAATTTAAAGATATTTTGTTTATTAGGCTGTAAATAAATAATATTCTGTTAAAAATTCTATTAAACAATGTTAACTTATTAACTTACCGAGCCGTTTTTGCGTCGTAATATATCAGAACGAAATCTTTACAATGTTTACAATGTATACGGGAGGTGTATTTTAAAAAGGTAGTGATGAATTCACTGCATCTGCTGATTTCAAAAGCCCATTATTCAAATCTTTCCTTTTGTGCCGGAAAAGCTACCCAGATAACCTGTTCGTTTTCCGTGTTCAGAATTTTTATAGCCAAGCCATGATCTATAATGCACAGAATATCCAACAATATAAGGTATCCCTCGTGATGTGGTAAAACAAGAAATACAATGAAAATGCCTTTTTTAAGATATGATCCGACAATTATTTTTGATTATAATGATTTTTTTATTAAAAAAATAAAACACTATAGCAAACATTTTAATAATAAAGCCAAACTTATGAGGTACCAAAACAAATTATTGGATGATAAAATCAGATAAATTTGGTAAATCAAAGTAAACAAAACAAAACCTAACCAAATTTATAGTTTTGACAACTATAACAGCATTGCCAGCTTTATTTAGCACACTGGGGCAACGATAAGGGAGATAAAGATAGGAAACGCTCATAAGAAGCCAATGCTTAATAACGACCAGCTTTAACGTAGTTAACATCTGACCCAATATGTGGCGCTTTCATCGACATCAAACAACGCAGCGGGAAATTTAAAAACCCGATAATAAAGGTTGTATAAATACCGACTGCACTCTCATGTTCTTGTAAATAAATTTAAACAATGTAATTACGCTAAATTATTTATTAAAAAAATACTACACTTACAGTCTATTATCGATTAATTATTGTAAATCTATTAATGACAAATATTATTGGTTATTATTTGTGTTACTTACATGACTAGATCTTACTTTAGTTAATTAAAGAACACCACATTCGGGTTGTTAAATTTATTTCTGCTGCTTGCTTCCTCGTATGTTATATACTTGGATGTTTCTAAAGCTTTTGATAGAGTTCCATAGCACAGACTTCTCAAAAAGATTGAACACCTAGGAATCCGAGGCAACTTATATAATAGCTTGGGTAACGGACTTCTTAACCTCCAGACAATTTCGCGTAAGAGTTGGTAATAGACGATACAAAAATCTACGCTAATCCAATTGCGGACTATCAGTCTCTTCAATCTGATCTAAGTGCAGTATCAAAGTGGATTTCAGACTGGTTATTACTGCTATATTTGTTAATGTCTAGTTAGTTCATGATCTATGATTGATGTCACTTGTATTCTGTCAGTTGTCTGATGTCACCTTTTTTTTGACTACTTGTAAAACTGATGTTAAAATAAAAGTGCAATTCACTTTTGTTCTTTATGAAAACTTAATAAAACCAGTCGTTGATTAAATACATTTATTTAATCCATTCCACATTATTCATCACAAGTAACATGAGTGACAAAAAACATCAAAGCAAGATTTACGTCGTTTCAGATTGTAAAACAGGATAAAAATCAAATGTAAAACTAAAGAAAACACAAGAAGAAATCAATTTATCTAAATACAGAATACAAAATTAAAAACTAGAATGAAGATATACATATAATGCTTGGCATTCTATATTATACTCTTCACAATTTAACAGATTCCAAAATGTTCAATTAAAAAAAATATATATTTTTATTAGCCTGTAATGAAGTCAATTTTCCTCAATCAATTTATTTTAATTTTTTCATTTTTAATAAATATTTAACGCGGATGTAATGAAGTCAATTTTCCTCAATCAGTTTATTTTAATTTTTCATTGTTAATAAATATTAAACGTGATTGAACTGCTAATCTACCGATGCGCGAACGCCGCTCGAGATCTCGCTGCGCGATAGATCTGAGCGTAGGTGGGGTATCTAATGGGAAAGGGAATCTACAGTTGTTGAACGAGACCCGAGATGCTATTATTGCTATTAAAATTATCAGTTCGATATAATTTTTGGTTGCCAGCAGTCGAATCTAATAAGCCGCACTAGAAATCAAATCACCGCCGTTATTTTTTCCTTTTTCGTGTATTTACAAATCCGTTAGGTAAAAAAAAACCTTGTTCCGCTTTTTACGTTTGATATTGAGTCCGTATTTCATTTTAAAAACCGAATTATCTTGTAGGAATAGGAACATTTTCAGATAGTGTTTAGTTAAAAGATTTAATTTGATTTCATTAATAAATAATAGAATTTGTTTCTTGGTAAAAATATTACCGTTTTTTTTTTTATAGATAGTGTTTAGTTAAAAGATTTAATTTGATTTCATTAATAAATATTTGAATTTATTTCTTGACAAATATAATACCGTTTCTTTAAAAAAGGGATATAATTTGAATTAAATAATAAATGATAGGATTTAATTCTGTAATATTGTAAAACCGGGGATTTTAAGACTTTTGATCGTTAGTCTGTATTAAGAAATTATTTTTTTTCTTTTGATAGGTTAAATTGGGAATTAAATTTGATTTTATTGATAAATTCTTTTGTTTAGTAAGTGCCGCGTTGTAATTAAGTTGGGAATATTTGTAAACGGAGTTTTCGAGGAAACGTTTTCCCTCTTTTAATAGTTCGTTTATTCTTTCACCGTATATTTGAATAATCTTAAACAACATCCTGTCCTTGTCTGAACGGGCTTGTGATGACGATCAGTTTACCCTTGGAGTAGGTGCTATCCGCGTTATTATTTTTATTAGTTAATCTGTAAACCGCAAATTTTAAATAATTTTAAATAGTATCCTGTCCTGTTTGAACGGGCTCGTGATGACGATCAGTTCACTCTTGGAGTAGGTACTATCCGCGTTAGTAATTTTCTTCCTTCTGATAATAATTTGTTTTTCTCTTTTACCGTCAATTTAAAATACTTTAAATAGTATCCTGTTCCTGTCTGAACGGGCTCGTGATGACGATCAGTTCATTCTTGGACTAGGTGCTATCCGCGTTAGTTTTATTTTCCCCTTTATATTTTTCATTTTTTTTCGTGCAAACTGCAACTTGTAGAAATCAAAAATAGCTTCATTACCCTGTCTGAGTGGGCTCGTGATGACGATCAGCTCATTCTGGGATAATAGGCTACCCCGGGTATAAATTTATTTTTATTTTCTTTCCGTGTATTTACTATAGGTAATTCTTTCGTGTCCCTGTCACCTCGCACTCTCTTTGACCGTTTAGCTAATTTTTCCTCACCTAAATAGTAAAATACCTACATTTTAGTTTAACTCCCGATACCGCTGGTAAGACAAAAACGCAAAATACAGCATATTCAAAAATATAACTTTTATATGTTTGCGTATCTATGACACAAATTGAAACATTGAATAATTACGCACTAATGGGACACCCTATATAAATTGATATTATCTGTATGTAACAAAAGTTATATAACGGTTATGTAATTTTTGTAATATATTAAATATATACATGTTGGATAACTATCATATCATACTCAGTTTAAACTTAGGTTTTCGGATCTATAAATAAAACAAAGTTACACATAAGTTAATTCTATTAGTATGTAACAGGAGGAAACATGCAATGGAACAGTTTACTGGGTCTTAAAGCTTATTTTAAAAAATTCTTTTGTAACCATTTTTTATAATTATAAAATAAATTAAAAATACTAATTTAATTAGAAATAGCGGAATTTAGCATTCAACGGGCTTCGTGCGTAAACGCTCCCCTTCGTACATAACGGGCTGCTTACAACTCTTGTTAGTTATTAAACTATTAATTTCAGGTTTCTGGAGATGAACAGCGACGTTTATGTGTGGACCATAGCAATGCCGAGACGCAAAGCATGAATATCGCTTTATCATTAACGACTTACGGAAGTGTTGCATATCAACTGAAAGACGCCAACTTGGAAGCTAACGGGACCTGCGACTTTGTCTGTAAGGCGTTGAATATAGTTAATAAGACTGGTAAGTTCAAATTAAATATGATAACATTTTTAATTGCTACTAAATATGAATCCTAAAACAACCAAATGTAAATAATTGAGTATAAGTAGCTAATTAGAATATGTTCAAAAGGAACAAAAACGTTACAACTTTTTAATTAATTTTTTCAACAAGTATTCACCTTGCTTCCAAAACTCCGGTGCTCCATAATTTCAACTTTTTTAATAGATCTGATTAATATATTTACACAATTTCGTGTTTCTTCCAATTCCATTATTCTTCATTTATTCCAGCAGTTTTTTATGATGTACCGAGGGTAATAACTTGTATATATCAAGGAAATACGCACTTATAGGACATCTAAAAATTATTTGACATAATTACAGGTTTTACATTACAAGTTTTGCAAAAACATTTAGTCATTATTGTTTCACAAAAGCATAAGTGCACAAGTGAAGTTAGGAAAAGCTCCCAACTGCAACTACACAGAAGAAAACTTAAGTTTGGCAATCAGAGAGGCAAGATTAGGAAGGATATCACTAAGAAAAATGAAAAAGAAAAATGGAGGAAACTCACCCAAGAAAATATGGTCGTCAACCAGTTCTGAATAATGATGAAGAACAACAAATTGCTTAAGGTCTCATAGTTTGTGGAGAATGGGGGTTCCTGCTGACCAAGCTCGACATTAGATAAATTATAAAACAATTTCTGGATTGTATTGGAAGGTAAGAAGCGCGATTCTAAAACAATATGCCGGGAAAAGACTTTATTAATCTTTTTTTTGAAAAGGCACCCTTGAAAAGGCAAATATTAAACGTTGTAGGGCTGCCGTTGGTGCTGAACTCATAAATTTTTATTTTGACCAACTTGCAAATTTATTAGAACGTGTTTTTCAGCAGATAGTATAGTAAACTACGATGAAACAAATTTCACGACGCCCTGTGAAAGCAAAAAGTGATTCTAAGAAGAGGCTCTAAGCACCCCTAATATGTTATAGACTCATCAAAAAGTAGCATTTCTTTAAGAATGAGTGGATAAGCCTCTGAAGAACTTATATCCTACATGGATTGAAGGTTGCCCAGCACAAACTAGGTATAACAGATCGAAGAACGGATGGTTTAACGAAAGGACATTTGAAGATTGGTTTCTGAGTATTGCTCTGCCATATTTGAAAAAACAATTTGCGCCTCGGGTATTAATTGGGGATATTTCTTAAAATGTCATCCAAACGAAAATGACATCAGATTTGTGCTACTCCCTCCAAATTCTACTGAAATTTGTCAACCTCTTGATGAGGCATTTTTTGGTCCATTAAAACGGAAATGGAGAGCTGTACTTTTAGAGTGGAAACAAAAATAGGGGAGTAGTCCCAAAATCTGATTTCCCAAAACTTTTAAAGAAAACTTTGGAGGTCTTTGAAACTGCAACAAAAATTTTGAAAGCTGGTTTTGTTGCTTGCGGTTTTTGTCCGTTAAATCGACAGAAAGTTTTACAGCGACTGCCAAAAGAAGCCCAGAATGAACCTACCCCTTCTAATGCCATTACCCAAGAGTTTCTAAAAAAAGAAACAAGAATGCCCGAAAATCAGCAAAAAAACCAAGAGGTAAAAAAATGAAAGTAGCACTTGGAAAAAGTGTTTCATTTGAACAGAATGAAACATCCTCAGATTAAAGCGATTACAGTGAATACAATGAGTCAACAGATTATGAAATATTTGAAAATGAAGTTTCTAATGACGAAAAAATTTTGAAAACTGAAGAATTACAAGAAGTTGTACTGGAAGCACAACAAAAAAGTTTAGATGAATTGGTGAAAAACGATTTTGTCATAGTAAAGTTTAAAATCGCCAAGGGAAAAAGTAATCTACATTGGACAGATAATAAATAATAGATCCGCTGTCAATGAATCAATAGGCCAAATACCAGCAAAGGTCCTGTTTGGGCGTGAGGTGAGACTACCGTGCGACCTCGAGTTCGGATGCCGACCTTTAAAAGATGTAGCTGGTGAAGATTATGTGATCTAGTTACGAAGAAGAAAGTACGATATGCATAAATTGGTCCGCTCGCATCTTCAAATCGCTAGTGACAGAATGAAGAAGCGATACGATACCCAAGCCACAGAACGATGTTTCAAGGAAGGCGACAAAGTCTGTCTCTATAACCCAAAAAGGAAAGGGTTATTCTCCAAAGCTTCAAAGGTCTTGGGAAGGCCCGTACCTCATCAAGAAAAAAATCAATAATGTTATTTACCGTATAAGTAAGATCTTGAACGGTAAACCAAAGGTCGTGCACCAAAACCGGCTGGCGCCATTTGAGGGTGACCATAAAGAGGAAGAAGAAGTAAACCAAATCCAATAAACACCTGACCTTGTCTCTGAAGAATTTATGGGTGCATATGCAGGTACCGGAAAAGCAAGATATGGTGTTACAACCGAGCAACAACAAGACCTATTCACGGTTCCTAAAGATTACTCGTTGGTTCATAGCACTTCCGCCAACATCTACGACGCTCGAGGTCTGGCATCTGTATTCCGGAAGAAGTTTGGTCGATTGCCAGAACTTTAGGATCAGTTATCTGAAAAAGCATTAAAACTTAAAGATGGATCGCGTTATCTTTTCTATTTGATAACAAAAAACACCTTCCGAGATCAATCCACCTATTATGATGTATGGGAAGCATTACTCAGTCTGAGGGAGCATGTACTGGAGTCCAATGTACAGAAACTAGCTATGCCAGAGATAGAGAGCAACCAGCTGAATTGGAGGATCATTAGAAACATGGTGAAAATAATCTTTCAAAATACCCAGGTTGAAATACTGGTTTGCAGCCATTCGCCCAGTGTCCAGGTTACAGCGAAGACAGTCCCTTGTTACTTCCACGCAACTGGAAATTGTAAAAGAGAATCCAGTTGCAAATACAACCATTCAGTTTTAGTTCCAGGAGGAACTATTTCTTAAGGAGGGGGCAATGTCATGAAATTTCTAATCCGATCCTGTGTCTAAAGCAAGCGCGACCTTCAGCTGGCTCCGAGTAATGCTCGAGGTGACGGAATGTTCTGGAAATGCCGCTGTGGCTCGAGAAATGGGTAGAACGGGCAGAGTGTGCCGTTGAGTCAGAGATGGAATTTTCGGGACCGTCTAGAGACTTCTAGTAGCAGAGTTGGACTTAATATAAATAGCCCGACTCATCGTCGGGCACTTTAGTTTAGTACAGAGTATTGTAATGAAAAGTTAAATTTTAATAAATAAATTAGAATTGTTAGTCAGTGTCTAAGTATTATATAAATTAAATAGTACGTCATAAATAAATTGTAAATAGTGTGTTTTAAATAAATAAACTATAAATAAATTAGACAATCGTTATAGTATTTTGTTTTAGAGTTAATCAAGGTCGGTTTACGAAACTTTCTAGGGTTCGTCTGGAACGTAACTGACATTTTTTATTTTAATTTAGTGAAAAAGAGCACGGGGTAGTATTGCAGGTTTTTTGAATTGTTTTGAATTGTGTTATGTGGTAGGATTTAGTAGATATTCGCCAGTAATTACCTGCGAGGGATTTGTTTTCGACACCCAGCAAAAACCTTAACTTACTTATTATAGATAAGAACTAAAGACGGCTTAATTCTGAAAGCACTTTGCTAATTTGAATAAAAAAAGTTTTTCTTTTCTTGATAAAGTAATTGTTGAAATATTTTTTTATTATTGGACATAATAAAGGAATTAATCCTGTTAATCCATTGATCATGAAGTTACTGAAGTGGATTAAAAAATTCCGGACAGTAAATGATGGCATTAGATTCAGGACATATGTCTATCCTATCTCACTACTGACATTAACTTAATTTTATCCAATTTCTCTAAACTTGTTGGTAATTGATTTACGGGGTTACTCAAATAACCTATTCGTTTATGGACGGCTAATACCCGTATACCTACATTTTATCCAACTAAAATGCATGATTAAATTATCGATTTAATGTTCCCTCGTTGGCTTAGATTGGGCGTTAATCAGTTCCTGAAGCCAGTTTTAGAATGAATCCAGATATTAGAGGAAGGTGGTTGTTATCTGAAATTAACCACGATTTTGCCTGTCAAAACCGGATGCTTGGCTCTGGCCCGGATGGAACAATTTATCCATTTATAAGAGGAAGAACCATCCGGCACTAAAGCGAGATGGAATGAGGGTTGGATGGAAATATTTCGTGTCTTATTTACTGGAAATATACGATGTGTCCCAACTTTTTTCACGGCCGGCGTCATGTATAATTGCTTGTTTCCGGGCTATTATGCCGTGGTCTTTTTTGGTTATTACTACCAAACGTTTAAGCTGTACCTGCGGTAGCCATCTTCAGTCGCCTGGAAAAAGTACTCTTCTCGGCGTATCAACTGAAACTGAATCCTCCTTAGCTCCCAGTGTCCTATTTATAATTTTTTTGTGGTATGTTCTTGGGTTGTTAGGTGCCTGTATGTATTCTGGTGGTTTTTAAATGAAATTTATATGTTAGAGCTTTCGGCACTGATCAGCGCCTTTTTTAGTATAGTGTTTAATACTTTGTATTATTATTATTTTTTTTCATTTATACATTGTTTTATTTGTTTGTTAGTTTCTAGTTTACATTTGTTTTAAATTTCTTTTTTTTAGATAAGTTATTATATTGCCTGCAAGACATTTTTTTTTATTATTTGTTATAAATTTATGTTTTGTATTTTTGTTATATCTTATCTTGGGCACAAGTGGGGTGTCTTTTGCTTTCTCTATTTTATTTGTTATTCTGTGTACTACATCAATAGTGAAATACTTATTCCTAAATTTAAGTTAGTGGTCAGGTCTCATATTTTTACTGTCTATCATGGGTTTCAATCTTTTAAGTAAATTTTTTTCAAAAAGTTTAGACAGCACTGGTAACAGGGATATAGTTCTATATCACTTTACTTCAATTGTTGGTTTGACAGGTTTGGCTATCATTTCAATTTCAGCGACTTTTCAGATCTTAGGTACATGCTGTAGTCGAAATACAGCGTTTTATTATATTAGTGAATTTAGCCACAGCTTCTCTTGACAATTGTTTTATTATTTCATCGGTTGCTCTTTTAGAATTGATATTTTCTTTTATTTGTTTAGCTACCTCTTTATGCGTTACCCTAGGAATGTCTACTATGTTTCTGTTTATTTGATCAAGCCCAAGTTGTGTTGTCTTCTTTTATTGGTGGCATGTGAACTATTGAACGTTTAAGTTTCCTAGTCGCTTTCTACAAAGAGTTAAATACAAATGAACAAAAAGATAGTCTTTCAGTAAAACGCTTTTGATAGACGGACATACAAATAGTCATCGAGATAATCCCATACACGAAGGTGTTCTTTTTTGCTAATTTGGAACAGAACACTAAAAAATATACCAATAACACAAGATAAATGGAACCGCCTTGTATACAAACTAAAACCTCGTTTGCTGCATTTCCCGGATTTTATTTTTAATATATGCCAACAGCATACTTTAGACACTTCACATTTCCATGTTTGAAGTCGTTCTATTCCATAAAAGTCTTTGTAAGCATATTCATATAGCCTCTCCGTTTTGTTGGAATAAAACCATTTTCATATTTTACAGACTTCGCTTCTAATAAAATCGCACGAAATTATAACGAATTTTGAAAGAAATTGGAATGAGTTTATAAAAGATTTTTTTTATATTATTGTTTGTAACTTTTTGTTACTTGTTAATATTGATGTTAGTCGCAAGAAATTTCACTCGTATTAAATTAGTTAACATACATCTACTTAATGTTGTATGTAGTATGTATACAGTTGTTTTTTTTTGTTTCAGTTGTAGTAACAATTGCTTTGGTGTGTTTGGCCATTCTACCAATATTTATGCTTATTATGGGTAAGTATTTTGAACATAATTTTTTTAATTTAATATACGCGTAAAATATATTTATTAATTATATTTAAAAACATTATTTCTATATTCCCTGCCATTACCCTAGTCCGTCTGAATCGTGGCGGCATTGCAACCTTCGAGGCTTATTGGGCCCATTTCAAGGTTAATTTGAACATAGATAGTAAATTCCTAAATATTTTGCCACAAAAACTAATTTAATAAGCAAATTTAGTAAATATTTTGATCTTTAATTTATTGTTATACATAATACGGTTGATTATCGCAAAATATTTCTCACTTTTAATGTTTAAATCAACTATATTCTCATACATTCACTCATTCATTCACCTGCATTCACTCCACTTCTTAAGCCCGGTTCAGACGTAGCCAGTGAATTCGTTGTCTGCTATTCACACAAGTAGAGTTAATTAGTAAAGTTTGATTAATTAGGTCGCGTCATACAAAAGCACTTGAAATTGATTAGCAGTCGGATACCTACTTATAGTGAATAATTAATAATTTGTATTAAATTACCTAATAATATTATTCAAAAGGAAAGACTTGTATTTCGTGTAAAACTTTTTAATTAATAAATGCAAAGCGCTTTCGGCATTGTGCCATCATCAGTGCTTATCTACAAAAATTGTGGATGTAAACTTACAATTTATAAATACGTGTAAAAATAAAATCTGAGTAAGCTTTTAAGTCAAAAGTTAAAATTATATATATTAGGTAATTTTGAACATATTAACAATTAAAAGATAACAAACAGAGTGTTGGGAATAGTGAGTGTGGCTATTATAAATTTCAAATCTTTATACCAACCTAAATATAAATATTTAGCAAATTTACTGAAACCCTAGCAACATTAGATCTATCTGGGCCGCAATGGAAGGTGATGAAATCATCCCACTCATTTTCAACCTTTACTGAAACCTAAAAAGTTATGCAAAAATTCCAAAACATTTCAATAGAGACAACGCAAATGTTTTGATTGTATTTAACAGAGATAATATGAATTTAAAACATATCTGCACCGATTATGTTAGAATCGATATGACATTTGATCAACTCAAAAATATGTGTTCTTCCTGTTAACACAAAATATGATGAATAACTTTACAGAAAACAGTTTAACCACTTGATTTCGTTAATTTAAATATGTTGGTAATATAATTAGATAAATATATATATTTCTTAATCTTAAATGTTGTTTAAGTGTACTTAAACCTAATAAATAAAAACAAAATTTACATTGCAATTTGCATGTTACAATATATTTAATATTTGTTTAGATTTAACTTGATTTAAAAAAAGTCTTCTGCTTAACAAATGAAAAAATGCATAATTAATTCATTTTCTCTACCACATCTATAGTCTATTTTTATGTATGAGAGAGTATTAAAATAATAAAACGTTCGTAATCCATAAGCGTACCACTTCTTTTAGTAGACAGTTAAAATATTTTTTGAAGTTATTCCTCGAGTATACACTTATATTTTTACCTAATTAACCTGCTTATAACTTCTAAACAGCTGAAGGTAAAAAAGTGCAATTTTTTCTAAAATGTTTTATTTTTCCACAAGGTATGTTAAGAACATTGTGTCAAACGGGTTATGTAGGTATAAGGGTTTAAACTTTGACTTTTAAACAACGTTACGTTCATAAATAATAATTTTAATATAAGAACTACTTCTTACCTACAAATCCAAATCAGAATCGAAATCAGAAGATGAACTGTCGCAACCAATATTTACAATGAGTGGCTCGATCATTTCATCAGTAATATTGTCCAACTTCCACATTTTCTCTTCTTCTTTAATCGTATCCTTTTCTGCCTTTTCCCAGTTTTCAGGCTTCACATTATTTACAGCCTCCAAAAACAACTGTTTAACATCACTCATTTAAAAAGTATTATTTTTTCTTGAAACTTCTCCCTTTATCTGTGCCCATATCAGTTCAATCGGGTTTACTTCGCAATGATATGGTGGTGATCTAACCACCGTCATCTCACGATTTTTTGCAATTTCATCTATTTCATATTTTTTGAATTTCTCTTTATGAAGGGAACACAAATGATACAGTTCTTTTCTCACAGAACCGGGATGGAACTTAATATTCTTTGAATTTAGCCAATTCTGTAAATCTTTTTTTAACCACTTGGTTGTGGGCATTTTTTCTATAAGTCTCGAGTTGATAACTTGCATTATCCATTACTATTATACAGTTCTGAGGAAGAAGATCTATAATTTGTTCGAACCACTCAAGATCTATAATTTGTTCGAACCACTCTTTAAAGACATCAGCATTCATGTCCTCATGGTAGTCGCCGGTACGAGTAGATTCAAAAGTCAATAAACCACTTTTAACAAAACCGTTTGAACTACCGATGTGTACTATTATAGGTATTTTCCTTTGCATCGAAAGTGTAGCACTGAGCTACGTCATTTCAGAAAATATCGTTTCATCCATACAATTTGTATAAATGGAACGATATTTTCAGAAATGGTGTAGCTCAATGCTACACTTTCGATGCTAAGGAAAAGACCTTATTAGTCTGCGCCCCTTTCCTGATGGTGGATTTAAACCAGTAGATAAATTATTTAAAAAAGCCTGTCTTCGACTTGTAACAGTTTCATCTTGCCAAAATTTATTTGGTTTATGTCCCTCGTTGATCCGTGTTTCATCTAAATAAAATATATTTCTTCTTTGGTTTCTCATTTCTTTTATAGTCCTTAGGTAATTTTTTCTCCATACTTATTTATTGTTTCGGCCTTTACTTGATGAAAATCCATTTAATTTTGAAAGAGTAAAACCAAATTTGGTAGATTTTCACACTTTTATTTTAAAAATAAAAATTGTTAAACAAACACTAACATGACATATGTTTCGAAGTACAACTTCTATTATTAATATTAATAATTCACCCTTATTAAACCTCTTTCCCAGTTTTCTGTGAGATAATCCCGGTAATGGGCTATCTTATTGTTATTTGATGGATATTATAATTACCTAAGTACCCTTATTTACTTTAAATAGTTAGTTTATTTTGTAATGTTATTGATGTTTTCTTAAGTACTTTGTTTTGTTAAATTATTTTGTATATATATTGGATACCGAATTGTAAATAGTCACATTTGAAAAAGAAGTTGTACTTCGAAACATATGTCATGTTAGTGTTTGTTTAAAAATTTTTATTTTTAAAATAAAAGTGTGAAAATCTACCAAATTTGGTTTTACTCTTTCAAAATTTTCTTCATACTACAATATCGCTTCTTTCTATTAAAATAGACTTTCTGGAATGCTTTTTCCATAGAAAACCTATTTCTTTTAAAAGTTTCCATAGTGTGCTTCGACTCATTTCAGGGCAATCCTTATCATCTCGAACCGTGGCAAGAACTTTGTCTACTGTCGAAAATTCTTTTCTTTTCAAAAGATTTTCTAATTGAAATTTTGGTTTTCCTGGAGCTTTACGTGCTGTTTGAAACTCGCCACATTTCTCTTCTTTAACAACTCTGTAAATCGTAGATTTCCCAACACCAAGCACTACTAACTAATTCCACTGTGTCATCAACACTTTTACATAAATGTTTGTCTGTAAATGATTTAAAACAATTAAATATTAATGTTTTTTCATTAACTGTTTAAGGACTGATTTTTTGTCGTTTACGCGGCCCTTCCAAATTTTCCATGATCACACTAGAACTCACACTGCACCTTGCAAGTTGCAACTAAACGACATTTAGTAAACTGTCAAGAATACACAACTTGGACCTCCTTACTAAATGGAAACCTATAATCGCATTTTCGGTGAAATTTGTTGGGAAGGTATTTATCTACTTATAATTCGATTACTATAAGAAATTCTTGGAATTAAAATAAAACAAAATTGGCAAATAGGTACTTATTGAAAATAATCTTAAGATACGGCTATGTAATCTTTAATACACAGGGCTTTTGGCCTGTCCAAACCTTTTTCTATTGTTCTGTACAGCTTATGATTATAAAGGACCAATAAAAGACCCAAAACTTGTAATAGCTCAGGTACATTTATTACAATTTTAGGAAATATTTAGATTATTCTGTAAAAATATTTAAAATTACCGTACTAAGTTTTGCATTAGAAATGCTGTTTTATTACTCTCTCTTACATAAAAATAGACTATAGTACACTGACACCCGTATGCATAGTCGATCGCCAGCGATTCGCAAGAGATTCATCTCGGCGATATCACCAGCGATCCGCTGGCGAATCCCGAAAAGGTGACGGCTTGCTGGCGATTGCCACCGGCATCTCTCGCAAGTTTTCAAAAATTTGATATTTGTTCATTGTTTTTTGAGTTTTAAGAAATGTACTCTTTGAATTATTATTTTCATAAAAAAGTATTGACATTAAAAAAACTGGCTATAACGTCATATTTTGAACTGTAATGACATCACAAAAATATATGTAGATATAATAAAAAATGTTCAGCTAAACAAAATCGAACTGTTCAAACATTTTTTATTATTTGCATAATGAATCCATAAACCAATTCATTTTAGGCAATCTTGTATATTGATGACGCACATTTAAAATCGTTTTTAATACATAAATGAAATGATAAATATTAAAATAACTGCTCAGTTGGAAATATTTAATGAAAAACATAATAATTTCCGTTCGTTTTCGACAAAGCAGCAGAACGTTTGAGCAGGAAATTAGTCTTTCCACATTTTTTTCTTCTTAATAAACATTCAATAACTTGGAAAAGGGATATCAAAAGATGGAGCGAAAATCTTATCTCGCATCTTTTGAACGAGATAAAATTGAACGGCCACGCTTTATTGAGAAACTCTGGAAAATGGTGACGAATTCTCTAAATTGTTTGAAAACTTCATTACGCGGCGAGAATCGAGCGGTAACCATGAACAATATACTAGGAGACACGAAAAAAATTATTAGTTTCTAAAAATAGACATTCCCAATAAAACTGATAATAGAGAAATTGAATTTTTCAAAGTTACAATAAATACAGTACGATTAGAAAAGAATTAGAAAAGAAACAGGAGATGAGTGAAATAACTGTAATTGTCTAACTAAATGATCAACAAACACTTCTAGTATACGAAAATTATATAGTGTCAGTATGCCAACTTTAATGAATTTTTTTTGACAAGAATGACAGATAAACTCCCAAGCGTAATATTGGGTTTGAAAACTACATTAATATTTATTCTTTTTTTAAGTATGATGATACCTTTTTACTGGGGTTCCTACACTGACATAAAATGTATATTTATTTTTGCTTTGACTTGGATTTGGTAAACGTGTATTATTGTTAAGATTATTTAATACTTATTTATGCTTGGATCCGTAATAACAAAAGTCATTAACATTGTAATAAAATAAAAGAAAATAAAATGACAATATTTAATTAAAACAAATATTCAGATAACCATATAAAATCAGTTATACATGTCAAAAAAATTAAATTAATAACTGGTATTGCCCCCTCTGGCTCGAATACAAGCTTCCATTCGTCTGTGCATCCCTTCCACCAAGAGTCTTATGCCATTTTGGTCCAACTATTCCCATATGTCAATTAGCATATTTCTAAGTTCTTCCAAGGTGTCTGGAGCTGGTATACGCGATCTAAGTTGTCTGCCCATCATATCCCAGACATGTTCAATGGGATTTATTGGATGGTTTATCAGGTTTTATTGGATGAATAGTTCCGATGATGTTAAGGATTGGAGTAAGAAATGTATCACTTGTGCTATGTGCTCAACGAAAAAAAAAAAACTCCCTCATGAAGCCGAGTATTAATACAAACTAATAAAGAATTTAACTGCCTACTAGTCAATAAAGGCAATGTTTTGTTAAATTATTGCTGTAAATTTTATGTTCTATACTATATATAAATATTTCTGCAAGCAATCGACTTAATGGGTTCCCCGTAATCAGGAATTCATCTGCAGAGTACATGTTATTTTGAAACTGAAAATATTTTTTTTAACAAATCAAATTTGGAATTTTTTCTTTGATTATAATATTGACTTGATTACGATCTAATAAGTTTTCTACTAGGTTAACTGTTTCTTTTGGAGGTATACTAGGAAATAAGTTTGTTACATCAAATTTTGTGCTAATAGATAATTTAACATTTTTAATTTGTTTCTTTTAATTTATAAGAATTTTTTATACTGTACTGTACTTCGGAGTCATATTTGACCAAAGGCTGACATGGAATCAACATCTCAAAAAACTCACACATAAAGCTACAATAGCTCTCGTAAGCTGTAGAAGAATATGTGGGAAAAACTGGGGTCTAAACCCCAAAATGACCATATGGTTATACACAAGGGTAATAAGACCCATGATAACCTATGGCGCAGTGGCGTGGGTAACCAAAACTGCGCAGGCAAGTGCAATAGGCCAACTCACTAGCATTCAGCGGCTTGCCTGTCTAAGTGCTACTGGGGCCATGCGCATTACGCCGACCGCAGCAATGGAGGTATTACTAAATCTCACGCCATTGCACATCTTCATACAAGGAGAAACCAAGTCAGCTATTCACAGGCTAATGCAGGGACAAAACCCAATAAGCCAACTACATAGCGCCGACCACACAAGGCTATATCAGCAAGTACAAAGGGATAATATTCTAGCTATGCCTACTGATAGAGCCATAACCACATACAAATTTGAAAGAAATTTTCAAATTCAAATACCAGCCCGAGAATCCTGGAAACAGGGACCTCCCGTACAGGCTGAACTCGTCTGGTACACAGACGGTTCAAAAACCAAGGAAGGAGCCGGTGCTGGAATCTATGGACCTAAGTCGAAATCAAAGATTTCACTAAGCTTAGGAAAATATGCAACAGTGTTCCAGGCTGAGCTAATAGCCATACAACACTGTGCAAGAGAAATATTAAATCAGCAAGTATCAGGCAAAACTATTGCCATATACTCTGATAGCCAAGCAGCTCTAAAGGCAATTCTCTCACCAGAAATCAAATCACGACTGGTGAAAGACTGTCTAGAAGACCTGACAGAGCTAAGTAGTCAAAATAAGGTGACCTTAGCCTGGGTTCCAGGCCATGAGGGATATCAGGGCAACGAAAAGGCCGACGAATTAGCCCGAGAAGGCTCAGATAAAGCCATGACAGGCCCTGAACCCTTTTGTGGAGTCGCTAAGGCATTGTGCAAGACATACATTAAACAATGGATGCAAAAAGAGTCTCAGGAATGGTGGAACAACTATCAAAGACTGAGACAGGCCAAACAGTTCATCAAGGAACCATCGGCCAAGTTTACGAAAAACCTACTGGATCAAAAACGTCAAATCGTTAGGATAACAGTAGGCCTTCTTACGGGACACTGTCGCCTCAAAAGGCACATGAGTGTCATAAATCCAGCAGAAGAAGCAACTTTGTGCAGGTTCTGTGAAGAAGAAGAGGAAACATCATTCCACGTCCTGTGCCAATGTGAAGGCTTGGCTGGAATGAGGTTTCTAACATTGGGCGAAGAAAAGCCAATTGCATGCAACTACATGCGGGAGCCACTGTCAAAGCTACTAAGTCTAATAAAAAAGACCAGGCTAGACGACATACTCTAAAACAAACGGAGTCCCACAATAGATCTGAAAAGGTCGCGGTGGATAAGGACAAATAACGTCCAACTCCTAATCTAATCTAATCTAATCTACTGTACTTTGAGTGGAATTTGTAATTTTCTTTTATAAGTTTAAATAATTTATGTAAAAGTTTGATTGATAGAGTCCTGACAAATGATACAACTAGTCTAATAGGATAGTCATCTTTGTTTAATGACCCCTGTATCCCTGTCAAAAAAAATATAAAAAAGAAATAAAATAATAAAAATATTTGTAATTAAAAGTAAACATAAACTGTGTAATATAGTAGATATAAATTAGATCAAATATGTCAAAAATTTATTATAAAATAATGTTAGTTAAAAGACGCAATAATAATGTTAAAACATGTATATAACACAAATGATGTTCATCCCTGAGCAAAATGTTAAGATGGCGAATGGATTTAGTATACGCATTCAAGGAAAACCTAAACCTAATCACTGAAACATATATCTTTGTGTAATTTTTCTATAAAATTAGCATCGTCCAGCATTTTTCTGATTTGTGGCTCAATAAAAATGTCTTATTTTAGTTGGACCTTACTTAACTGGAGCAAGTCCTTCTCCAGTGGTATTTAAATCCTTCATCCTCTTTCTCTAGTTTTTCATTCGTCCAAGATTAATGTGAAGAGGAGGCAAAAGGGTATTTCTTGGGTCTACAAGGGGACATACTTAACATTTTGAGATCCCAGTTGAAATTCACTCCTTTCGGCAATAAGAGAATTAAGTATAATGTTATAAACAATCAATTTTAGGCTTTCTGTTTTAGAATGCACCACATAAACGTTCTTAGTATATTCATAGAACATTGATGTCATGGGGTAACTCGATATCGAAGGATATAACCAAAACATTTTAGAATATAAATTTCATTGTAATATTTTTAGAAAGGATTTGATGATGGCTTTTAACATAAAGCGATCAAATGAATGTTATTAAATTATGTTTTACACACTAATGTAATCGTCTACTCCAATCATCGATTTATTTTTAATTTCAGGAATCCAATTTTTACGAGATTGCCCAAGAGAACCAAATATACCAATATACATGATAGTAGGTGGTACTGTTGGATGCATCAAAATGGCGCTGACCCTATGGTCTCAATTTCACACCAGCAGGACGGTGAACTCTGCAGCCGACGCCACTTCCATTATATCCAAAGTGGCATCCATATTTCTTACGATTCTTCTGTTGGCCTGGTTTGCATTGGGAAATTATTGGATTTTTAAAATTCAATGGCCTGATTACGCGCCTACATTATATGAGCCCAACAAGTGGTGCCACAAAACCCTATATGTTTTCTCGCTAGTTCACTTGTGCGTTGTATATACCCTTCTAGGATCCATTGTGATGCTTGTGATTATTCTTGCTACTTGTCAATTATTTGGATGTTCTTGGCTTGGACCAGCTAGGTACAAATAGCAAAACCCGACAGATTATTTTGAATTATGGGATGTACCAAGGACTTATCATTAATAATTTGCTCAACGTAAAACTAATGTGACAGCTATATTTAAGATGTGTTAGAGTGAAATAACTTAAGAATATAAGTTTTGTTGCTTCCAATTTGTTTAAATTTATACTATATTGTTTATATAATCAAAACAAATGTTATATTTTTTGCAATATTATAAACTGTTGGTAACAATTTGCACATGGTGTATCTATGATGAATAAATTATATCAAAGACCAATAATAACGACCTTTAGTTTAAAAATCTATTGATGATTAATTTCAGCTTGTCCCAACTACTGGATGGTAAGAACTGATTGGTAAGTACCTATGCAACAAAAATAAAAGAATAAGTAAGATAATCGGTTTTAGCGATAATTATTAAAAAATTAAAGCAGTTTTTTTTTAACTACATATAGCTGATTTATTTGTCAGTCAGAGGCTAAGTAATAAATAAAAGAATAAAAAAGAAGACTGTAAAGCCCTAATCTATCCTTTATTATTTATTTACGTTTTTTGGCATTCATTATTCTAAAAACCTAATATTTACATTCAAATATTATGATTTATTTAAAACGCAAAAAATGAACAAAAATATATTGATTAAAATAAAATATTTAGGTGCGTAGATGTTTAAAACTTAAGTGTGCCACATCAGAGGCTATACCAAGACGGTTCACGCTTATTTGCAATGTGAGGGTATAGAATTTGTAGCACACGCATGAGTCGCATGGCATGTAACGCTAATTATTACGCAATCCCGGTACAAACGCCTGTATTGGATTGAGTCTGGAAACACTATACCTTATTCATTTATGACCTTGTGGTTGCGCATGGGCTGTCGAATTACTAACTTTTTTTTGAAACCATTTTTTTTAAACAATTTTTTTAAAATACATTATTAAAGTTTGACTTGTATAAGTTTATAAAATCTAATTAAAAATCTAATTAAATTAATTAAAGAATACATATTAAATTATAATTACTGAACAATAAAATAATAAAATTAGCTAAAAAATTTAAAATACATATGAAATATAAATAATAAAGATGTACAAAATAAAAATATCAATTAAAAAGTATACAATTACAACTAAATTATAATATATAAGTTCGAATACTTGTATATTTAATCAATTATTTCTCTTTGAGTTTTTCTATCCGAAATAAGAAATTTTTTGAGGATAGCTTTATTTCTTTATGTCCCAGATAAAGATTTTTTTTAGAAATGTAAGGCTAGCGCCATATTAGGCAGACGTTCAGCCGCCGAAAATGAGTCGCAGATCATTGCGCATTGCGTAGTAAAATAAAATGCTAGGCGTTTTAACCGATCTTCAAAGCTTAATGTAGTTCGTAAGATATTATAGGATTTGTCTGCAGCAGATCGGCGGCTGAACGTCTGCCTAAAGCAGCCTTACAAATTTCCTAAAGAAGGTCGACAAGAATGGTAAAATCTGGACAAATAATGGTGAAATTAGCCATGAAGAATCTTAGAACTCGCACCAAACCCTGAGATTAACTTTTTCAATAAAACTACAAATTATATACAGAGTCTCAAATTTTATTTATTTTTATTTTAATTATTCAAGAGTTAACGATATACGAAGTGCAGAGGTAAGTGTCTAAATGCATAGATGAAAACTTAAAAACCTATTATCTAAAAAAATCATTTCATCTCGTTTCATCACAATTATGACGTACTGCATCAGGTACTACTTCAGCCGTGACATTAGGTATTTGTAATGATGATTTGTAATCTAAATTACTTTAAAAAAAATATTTGGGTAATGTTACTCTTTATTAAAATATTCATTTTATTACAATTTATGGCTGCCCAACGTGTATTATTAAAATTAAATTAAAATAAAAACACATTATCATTACACATTATATATATTTTAAGAATTATGATTTAATTTAATTTTATTTGGTTAGATATCAGTGCCTACAAAATAATTAATTTGTGTTGATTAAATATGGGATTATATGTGCAGTTTGCTGCTCCCACAACTACTTTTGAATTTCAATTATTTCTTTTTGCAAAAACTCATAGGATAGATAAAATTTCTGTTAAGTACAACGCATTAGTTTTTCATTTAAATACTTTTTGTGAATTTACTTCGAATTGTTTTTAAATAAATAAGAATTGTCCTTATTTACTTGTATATTAATACCTATAGTTTATTTTAGTATAGGATTTTTGAATGAAAGATCTTTATTACCATCTCTTCACGATGTAAAAAGTTTATTGTTGGATCAATATTCGTTTGAGGTTTTTATGATTTGTGAAACGTGGCTTTTCACTACTGTCACTAATGATATTTTACAAATAGATGATTATAAAATGTATCGAGGTGATAGAAATGCAAGAGGTAGAGGATTGTGTATTTATGTAAAAAATAGATTTGATTGTGATTTAATAGTAAAAAATTAAACTAATAATTGGGAACAATTATGGATAAAATAAACTATATAAAAGGCAAATAGCTATTTACAAACCCCATGAACAAAATGAACATGATTTTTTGGATGAATTTGAAGATATTCTGAGAACTATTTTTCCAACTGTTGATGAATTAGTATGTTTAGTTGCAGTAGGGAAGTTCTATTACTTACTAGAGTCCATTTATGAAAAGCATAATATGTCACCTAGCGACATCTACAACTTCGATGAGACGGAAATATTAACTGTTCCGAACAAACCTTCAAAAGAACGAGGAGTTTTAGTTACAGTTGAAATGTGTATGAACACAGCTGGTAATTTTGTACCACCCATGTTTGTATTTCCTCTGAAAAGAAATAACCCCATGCTGATGGATGACTCACCACCAGATTCATCTGCATACTTTCATGAGAGTGGCTGAATTAATGCAGAATCATTTATTGCCTGGTTTGAACGGTTTGTGACCTACGCTAATCCTTCTCAAGAAAAACCAGTCCTTCTTATACTTGATGGACATGCCTCTCATACAAAGAGTTTAGCTCTTATAAACATGGCGAGAGAAAAACACGTTATCTTATTGTGTTTGCCCCCACACACAACCCACCGTCTTCAGCTACTGGATGTGTCGTTCATGGCCCTTCCTAGCACTTACTTTGAACAAGTTCGTAAATGGTTGATAGCTCATCCTGGCAGAGCAGTAACAATCTATCAAGTGGCAAAATTGTTCACATATACTAGAGCTGCTATTATGCCAATAAAGGGTTTAAAAAAACTAGAGTATATCCCTTTAATAGGGATATCTTTCCTAACCATTTGTATGCACCTGTAGACACAACCGACAGACCTGAACCTGTCGCTTCTCTTATTGAGTTGGATCGTGAAGAAAATGATTGCGCCAGTCAAAACAACAATGAACCATCTCCTAACAAAACTTTCAAGACTGACACGCCTCCTATGAGCGCAGACTAATGTAACCCAGTAGAAACCTCCACGACAACCATTTATTTGGATCCACAACCTTCTACATCAGCAGGGTCCTCATCATTTTATATTTCACCAAGAATGATGATGCCTCCTCCTCAAGGAGTTTATTAGGAAACCTCAAACGAAAACTGGAAGAAAAAACCGTAATTCTTACCTCAAGTCCTTACAAGATAACTAGAAAAGGAAGAAGAAGAAGAAGAAGAAGAAGAAGAAGAAGAAAACGAAGCAAATCAAAAAAAGAAAACCCTGAAAAGAAATGTAATGTTGACTATTGTCGAAGCTAAGCAAGAAAATAAAAAAAAGGAAAAAATAAAAACATAAAAAATCAGCCAAAGCAAAACAATTGCGATTCCACAACTTCAATACAGGAACAAGACGAAGAGAAGGCCAACAAAAAAAAAGCGAGGAGATGAAGGAAAGGACAAAAAGGAGATTAATGTAAAATTTTTACTAAAGAAAAGAAAATGTTATGACACAACGGATTCAATTTCAGAAGAGGAAGATGATGAGGCTTGCACGTTTTACAATGAACTTTACACAAAGTCCAAAGAAAAATAAGGTTGGATTCGGTGTAATAAGCTTGTTCAAATGCAGAAAAAGAAGATAACTCATTTATCTGTGACTTTTGTTCAGAAACATAATATTTATCTGACGATACTCAGGTCTATTACAGTTTCCCCTCTCATTTATCAGAAAATGCTTATGCATTATTAAATCAAGAGTTGGATGCTTTTATTGAGGCAGCATCTGAGCACTGTTTAATGATTAATCCTTCAAAATCCTTCAAAATTAATAATAAAGATTTATTCTAGTTAATGAAGCTACAAATTTAGGTGTCATTATTGACTCGGATCTAAGATTCGAAAAACATGTTAATAAGCTAATTCAGTGTGCATATAGCTCAATAAAAATATATGGTAACCGTAATCATAGATTTTTCTTTTAAACTCACAAAATTCTCTTCACATCTTCCTTTAATATAGAAATAAACTAAATGTTTTAATAATACGTTAATTTACAATGTTTCTTTTTTGAACTGAGGTAGCAACAAACTTATTGTAATTCCATTCTATTCTCTGATTCTATTTGATATCTGTGTATATACCTTTTTGTCCTATTTTGCCTCATTAGGCACCTGTTAAAAACGAAAAGAAAATAAACGCCATTGAGTCGTACACATTTTCATCCCGTTTTCGTGTTGAATGCACTCAGTTTTTGGATGTTCTCTTCAATGGAACAAATTATCTTTTGTGTATAAAATTCTTCAGAAGTCATTTTTTAAGATTTTCAATTACGTAGCTTTACAGCTTCTATTATAAAGAGACTGTCTACCTCTATAACAACTCTTTTGTTTACATTTTTCTTCTTCGGTGCACGTCGACGTTGTCCATTGTTGCGAGAATGTTAGTTGTTCTCCATTGTTGCAGAAAACCATTACCGACTCATCAGAAAATTACACTTAGCGTGTGGGAAATATCAAACATTCCCAGTGGGGGGGACGTCGAAGTAAAAGGGCATATGTACGCCACGCGACCCCCTAACAAGGTTGTGTATAGCTTGTCGAAAACAGTAGCACTACGACGCGTGCGAGTGCGCCTAATTGGGCGTTTATCCAATGCGATTTTCCATTATAACTTGGCTATGATCAT